TTTTTGTTGTCTGTTTTCTATTTGTAAGGTATCCTCTGATCCAATTGAATACTTTACCCTCTACACCATATTTATTTAGTTTTTTAATAATATCTCTCTATTTACTGTTTCAAAAGCCCGTTTTAGATCCAGTGATACTGCTATAGTGTATAGTTCCTTCCATTTAGTGACAGTGAGTTGTATAGCTGATTTACATGAGTGGTTTGATCTAAAGCCAGACTGATTAGTGAATAGCAAATTATTTGAGTTAATATACTCTAATAACTGTTGATAAACTACTGTCTCTAATAGCTTTTCTTCAAATGGCAAAGAATTAATTGGTCTAAACTCACTACTTTTACTAGTATTTGCAACCTTTTCGATAGGTGTAACAGTGCTGGTTTATAATTCCTCGGGAAATGTGCCATTTTCCAATGATACATTCACAAAGTGGCACCACACATGACCAATAACATCAAAGCTATTTTTCACAACTTTACTGTTTAGTTAATATGGCAGAATAAAGTTTTCCAAGTCATCTAGTATTTACATATACATCTGATTGAAGTTCTCATAAAACTCTTGCAAACTATAATAGGCTTTATCGATAAGAAAATCTTCAATAGCTATTTTGAACAGAGGTTCCAAATTCTACTTAATCAAGTTAGAGATAGTTTGTTTACTAGATAAACATAAATCTGAAATTCCCTCAACTATGTCACATGTCAGACGCTCAATTCAAATCTCCCCTCAGCCATATCAACCTTGACCTCCACAGAGATTCTTAATTATTCGAAACCTCTGGATAAGTATTTTTTTGTGATTTCAGGTGCTTTAGGCGATGTGAATCAAATTGCAGAACCGAAATTACATTCCCAAGTATTTGAGTATCTTGTCAAGCTGATGGACACTTTCATCAAGATTAACCAAAATCAAGGAATTTCTACAGATAACCTGAGTACCCCTCAAACTCCTGAACTAGTACCTCCACTAACATTAATTTTGCCTTGGTGTTTTGGAGCCCTAGTATTACCCGATGCCTACGAAGCTGGAAAATTGAATGCCATGAGGCTACTTTGTACTATAACGCTCAACTGTGATATAAACCATCGGACACATTTGCCTCAGTTTTACCGGTTTCTCCATTCAGGTAACAGTAAATGTATTTTATTGCTGTTTTTCATAGTCGTCTCGTTATATTGCTAACTCAGCGAAAGGCATGTTGAGAGACAGTGCTCTAAGTTTGGTGTTAATTATAAAAATACTTAGTTGGTCATAAAATTTTATAATTGATATTGGCATGTTCATGATTTGAACGATACAAAAAGTTCTATATGCAAATATACGAGGCCTTTTGAAAAATTTTTGGGAATTTTCATTTTCCTCCAAAAATATTCATCATTCTCTATATTATTCCCTTCAAAGTATAAACAAACTGATTTACTCCTACGAGTACCAGTTCATGTGATTCCCACTATCACATCTTCGGTGTATATGTTAATTGTATTTTATATTTGTCAAGTATGTTTGTGGATATTTGTAGGGTGTCTCTTGTTGATAGGAAATTTTAACTTGTCAATTTATAATCACGTATAAATCTATTGACTTGTATAAATGCTGTATTGCATAAAGTACCAATAAATTACTTAGTTATTCACTTATAATATATCTGTGTTAGCATTTTTCCTATCCTCGAAACAGTTCTGATACGCACTTTTTGGTGGTATGTCCTTGAGCTCTCTCTAAGCATTTCCGTTTTTACCTCTCTTTTAATAATGGGGACATGAAAAAAAAAAAGGTCAACCATTTTTTCTCTTCTTTCTTTATTTGAAGTGGTGAACTTATACTAGAAATCACACTAACCATAATCAGAAATGGGCAAGTTTATTTCTGTGAATCAGAAGAAAACAGATAAATCAGAATAGTGAATCCATTGCAAGTCGAGGAACTTTCAAAGAATTAGAGGTCTCGTCACTTAGAGAAATATATATGTCATATATTAAGATAATATTGAAACGAATCTGAAACCGGCCCTGACCGATATCTCAGCCAGCAAACACATGACTCACCGCGAACCGCCACGAAAAGTATAGATGAGAGATCTGGAGTGGTCGTTGCCGACATAAAAGCCGGCTTCCTGTCCCGAGATGGCAGTCTGTATTCAGAAAGCGAATCGTGCGTTTAAATAAAGAATTCGAACGGTGAAGATAAATTAAGCGTTAGTTGCTAAGTGTTGTATATAAATTAGTTGTGATAGTGAAATATTGTCAAAAATAAATTTGTTTAAGACAGTTAATTCTTCAATTCGTTGCAATTGGTGTCAGAAGTGGGATTTTTAAAATAAATTTGTGAACGCTTGGTGGACAATCTTTGTATTACGGTGAAATTGACTATAAAACTTTCGCACAGAGAGACTGGTGATTTATTGTGTTTCGCGAAGTGGACAGTACCGGACTACGTAAACATAAACTGATAGACCTTTCTCGCGAAAAATAGACTTGTGAAAATAAATAAGTGTTTCAGACTCGAATAAAATAAGTGGACGTATTCAGTTTTGTGGTAAATAGACAATAAGAGACAAAATGTGTTTGAGGAAAGTGTGCCTAGTGGACTTGAAAGTCGCCGAATTGAAGCAAGAATTGGAGGAGAGAGAGCTAGATTGTTCCGGAAAGAAATCAGTACCCCAGAAGAGACTGGGATAACTTGATTGAATCAGGAGAAGATCCCGAACATATTTATTCGAAGTCTCTGGGGGTGATTTGAGTTCAATAATGAGCAAACTCGATGGACTTCAACAAAATTCGGTAAGACTTGAAGAGAAGCTTCTGGAAGATGCGAAAAGCTTGGAAGATAAATTTCTAGAAAATTCGAAGAGTTTGGAAGACAAGCTTCTGAAATTTCGAAGAGTTTGGAAGACAAGCTTCGCGAAAGTTCGGTGAGTCATGTGTTTGCTGGCTGAGATATCGATCAGGACCGGCTTCAGATTCGTTACAATACATTGAAGTTTTCTCCATGGCATTCACAATATTCAATGACATGCCTAGCTACCACGTGGTATTATATAAAAAAGAAACTCTTACTTCAACGCTAGAACTTTTTTTAAAGATAAAACACAAGCACTACAGGAAAATATTTAAGGCATTCTCAGAGCGGTCCCTGTGCGAAAGTAGTAGCGATTAACATTGGATTTGAATAGCTGAAATCAAATCTATTTGAAAAAACGTTCTCAGGAAGTTTATTCCACATGAAAGCAGTTCTAAAAAAACAATCTTGATGTGTTGAGAATTTTACTCAACAAGGTTGTAGATTTAAGTGCTTCAGTTATATCGGAAACCTATTTCAATCCTGTCTTTGCAAGCCAACAAAAACCGAGAAGGGGGAGACTATCAAATACAATAGCATCAAAATCATTGATAAGGTGATATATTTTATTTTATTATACATGATGACTAAAATTTGCTAGATTTTTTATATGAAGAACTAAAACCCCCACAAATCGCAACAATATCAACATTATTGATTACCTAGTATATGAGTATAAAGATGTCATCAGCATTCTCAAACACTGATTAACAGTACATCAATAAGCTCTAAAGAAAATTCGTCTATAGAACAACAATGGGGAATGTTCCTCAATTTGGGTTATTACAGTTAACTTTTCCTTTTATGCTACCTAAAATGTCTCTGTCTCTTGGGAAGCTCATTGTTTGTACACCACGGTCAATATCAACATAATCTTCAAAGGAAACAATCGCTTTCCATTGCTGTTCTGTATGTGGTTGTGCAATGTCCTTTTTTTCTCCTTTTTCTACCTCGGCAATCAAATTTAATTTTTCCTTGAGTGTTGAATATTTCAAATTTCCTTTTGCCATTTCAGTCTCCCACTGAAATCACTACAAATCCTTTGTCAAATTTCATCACCTTGACTGACTATATAGGTTAGGTGCACAAAATGTCATATGTCACAGAATAACCGATGTTGCCAAATGGTGAAATAGAAACGGATCCCTTTAAATGTTGAATGCATTATTTCCTACCTCTTTTTTAAGTATTTAAATAATGTTTTAAAGATAAAGGTTGAAATGATAAGTTTAAAATGCGTTGTTTTAGAGCTCTTTTATGAAAACTACTTGATTTTCGTCAGGAGGAACATTCCCCATTATGGCAAGAGCCTAAATGATCTTGAATTACAAATCCTGAAAATGGGAACACAAACTTCCCAAAACAAGTTTGTCTTTAGCCTCAACAAACTTGATGAAAAAGCATGGCAGTGTCAGAAAATTTTCACTAGAAGGTGATTGTAATGTTTCTCATTTCCTTTGATATTTTAGAAGTTACATGTATACCATTCTATACCATTTCTTAAAACGACAAATGAAAATATAAAGTACAAGTGATTTTTTTACATTGATGTTATTTTGTTTGTTTTAGGAACACATTGTTAGTATCTTACTGAGGGCTGGGAGAAGAGAACCAAATGTTAAAGCTAGGTGTATAGCTCTATCAGCTCTGGGAATATTTGTATACAAAGAGCTGAACAATCGAACCTTTCATCCTAAGGTGTCTGATGCCATCAATGTTTTACTAGCGGCTCTTAAGGTAATAACAAATAGATTCAATGCAATCTTATGGTGAGATAACATTGTGAATTGTGTCACAACCAATTTGCTGGTTCTGTACCTACATTTTTCATATTTTTTAAATATTTTTTTCTACTTGTGATGCACTGATTAGAAAATTTGGTGCAGTAATGAATATTACTAAGATGCCACTACAAGATCCCCGGAATAATATATTGCTGCATATATTATTTTTAATGATTTTTTGTTAAGATAAGTACTATAGGTTGTTCAAGTTAATAAGAGAATGACGTCACAAGATGACAAGTTACGGCGTTGTCAACATGTGCACTATTTTGAACTTTCAAATTTATTTGTACTGTTGATATGTTTTATTGCTATTATCCTTACTTACTTTCAGTATTTATTGGGACTATTTCGACAATGCTTTAGGCATATTGAATATATGCAGGTCTTATCAAAAGAAATGATTAGTTCTGTAAAGAAAGGAAAGACTGACAGTTTTCGAGTTTTTTTCGATTCGGAAACGTCTGAAATTTTACTATCAGTTGAGCAACTTACAAAATGAAATGTTACTAGTTTCATCGTTGTTGAATGCATTTCAGTGGGAATTTTAACGTTGTTATGTTGGATATACAAAATTACCAAAAATGACGTCATTCTCTTCTTAACGTGAACAGCCTATAATAAACTTTACACTGTAGCAGATTTGATTCAATTTTTTTCCTAAATTTATAATGTGGGTATGCCAGTGAATATGCTCATTGATGTGTATACCTGGCAATTTAGTTGAGGTTTGTACTTTAATTTGATTATTTGCTAAATTTACAGTTGTTGTTGACTTAATTCTTTGTTGAAGGGTTCTGAATAGAATTACCTTGGTTTTGTCGGTGTTAAGAATAAGGCCATTTGTATAAAAAGAATGCTGTGTTTTTTCAACTGAATGGGATGATTTAGTAATTAAATCATATATATTAAATATTTTCTGAGGTAATAACAATAATCTTTGTTTTGTTGTCAAAGGCCATGATTATTGCAGTAATCAACTTAGTGTTCAAGCTTCATCACTATTTCCCTGTGTAATCTATTAACTTACTTTCATCTCCAAAAACTTTTGTCATATAGTTCTTTGGTGGATAACAATATTTAACGATCAATGTCGAAGCATAGATCGCCAAGACTTTAAAGTTCATTGGTGCATTCATAATCCTTCTCAGTATCGCTGATGAAACCTGACATTGGATGAGGAATGCAATGCTTTTGTACACTAGTTTCATCTGAACATATTCAAAATTCAATGTATTTTCTTAAATTTTTTTTTAAATTCCATTGTGCCTCTTTTTTATTTTGTAATTCTATTTTGAATATATTTTTTTATGAGAAATGATTCATTGGTGTGAATAAATGAAAGTGAATTGATTTAAAAGGAGGCTAAATTCGAAAAAGATGTATGGTTTGACATTTGGTTTCCATATAAAGTGATTTGTGGCAATATTTTCAATAAAATGTAAGCATTCTGTGTGCATTTTCCAAAGTATAATAATACAATTTTATTTTAATACAATGAAATAGCATACTTTTTTTTCCTAGTTCGTAAATTCTTATTTATTCTGTTTTACTGTCTTCTAGATCAACAGCAAAGTCATTGCTCAGCTATCCAGCAACATATTATTCCTCTTATGTGATCACGCTCCACTTTTGTGGACTCAGTACCCCCGTCTGGGAAATGCAGTCATTTCGACTCTGTGTTCTGCCTTGTTTTTGCACACTCCATTGGGAAAAACTGCAGGAGAGAGTGACAAAGCTTTGGGGACAGCTCTTCTTCTATGTCTGGGAGAATGGTGCATGAAACTGGGACCTCTAAGTTTGATGGAAGTTTCAGAATATGGAGAAAGCAGAGGCACGTGTCTTCTTCTGCAAGTATTTACAGTGAGTATTTGCTGCTATTCTTTGTTGTTTTCTATATAATTGATTTGTAATAGTGTTATAATTACATTTCTATTGAGGATTTATGGATTTACATTTTAAAATCTTTGAATATTATACAGATGCCTTGCACAGGTGCCTGATGGTTTTACTTCAGCTTTCTGCGCAGCATTAGCTGGGTTAGTTGTTGTTTCTCTGTCGGGTATCTGCCACACACACCTACAAAGTGGTAGGTCTACATGAGAAGCAAGGGGTGGGGTGTGTTCTGTGTTTTTATCCTCACAAGGATCATTTTCACGGTGTTTGGTCAGAGTCTTATTTGCCATTATCCGGTGATGTCTAAAGTTTGGACCCAGACAGTCAGATTAATGAATAAATTCTATCATTATTATTATTATAATCTAATTGATTTGAACATGTGATAGAATAAACCCGCCAAAAGAGACTGTACTGAAAGCAAATATAAATTTCAAGTTCTACAATAAATATTTTGACAAAATTTTGATAACAGTGAATTGGATTTGAAGTAATGTCTCCTGCCTGAGACATTTTTTTTGTTTTTCATGCAGCATGATAGGCAAAACTCGTAAAAATCAATTGGTAGTACTTCAGTGTACTAATTATTTGATTATAGAATTAGTCTCAATCTACTTATCAAAGAGATATTGAGAGAATTTTTGAGAAGGGGTTTTGGTTTGGTTCAAAAAATACATGAAGAGATGTAATGATCCTATCTCACATTCTTTTCATTTCGAAGAAGTACTCAATGAAATGGTTGTGTAACATGATGATAATAATAATTATAATGTAGTTCAACATGCTTCTAAAACACTAAAATAAGTCGCTTAATTATGAATTCCACAAAGTGCTTGGTATTGGGAATCTATTTTTTTAAATATTTTACTTTCAGAAATTTATGGGATTTACACATAAATCATTATGAACCAAAGTTCTGATTCCATTCGAAATACTTTTCATACTCNTTTACTTCAAGAAATTTATGGGGTTTACACATAAATCATTATGAACCAAAGTTCTGATTCCATTCGAAATACTTTTCATACTCTGTCTCTCTGCTGCAAGACTTTACTGTCTCCAAAGCCCTTTCCATGTCTTTTAAAGTAACACGCCTCAGTTCCATCTGGGTTTTATGACTTCCTTTCGAGTTGATTTCGCTAATTTTTTCCCTCACACAAATCATTGTTGCTTCTTTGCATAGTGTTTTTATATCAGAACCAGACAAATTTTCTGTTCTTCTAGCCAGCAACTGAAAATCGTTGTTCGTGATGTCGGTGGGGTGTTGTAAATAATGCTTTATTAAATCGCATCTTCCACATTCATTGGGTAGTGGTACCAGTATTTTCTTTTCAAACCGTCTGATCAAAGCCGGATCTAAAGACCAAGGTCTGTTGGTACTTCCTAAAAGAAAGATCTTTGACTCTGTGCTAAGTATACCATCTAGTTGTACAAGTAGCTCGCTTTTTAAACGTCTTGAAGCTTCATGCTGCCCAGAATCCATTGATGAACCAAGAGCATCAATTTCATCAACAAATATTACCGTTGGAGCAAATTTTTTTGCTAATTCAAATAACACTTTTATCAGTTTCTCTGATTCTCCTCGCCATTTACTCACGAAGCTGCTCACAGTTACATTTATAAAGGTTGACACATTTCCTGCTAGAGCCTTAGCCAACATCGTTTTACCTGTCCCGGGTGGGCCAAATAGCAGAATTCCTTTCCACGTAGTTACGTTTTTAAATAAATCTGGATAAATTAAAGGATAGAATGTGGCTTCTTTAAGTTTTTCCACCGTATCTGTCAGTCCTATACAGTCTTTCCAATTCGTCCCTGAAACAAAAAGTGTTAGTTGAAGAAGTTTCACTATGGATTTATTAGTATGACTACACTGAGGTCTCAAACTGCCTACTCCTTAGGTAGTGATACACTTTAAGGGTTTTGTGACTTGACACCAGGGTCTCATTCTGCCTACTCCCCAGGTCACACGCTTGTTTCCGCGAAGGTTTCAAGCGTCGACTGGGAGTAGGGTATAAAAGGATTTTCTTGTGAATTATTCTTCAACTAGCGATCCGCCCCGGCACCGCACGGGTGCAATTCTGATACTTGTTACGGTTTGGATGGCGACCCCGTAACTTCAAAAACTAAATTGGTCCGATAAGCCGTTCGCTCGCAGCTCGTCCAAGTGGAGAATTCGTTACTTGAAAAGAAAAGGACAAAAAAGCGAACAGCTGATCTGGGTTTTGATAAACAAGTTCTCTTCTGGTCGTATGTATGTGTTGGTATTTCGAAATTGTACCTTTTTCTCTATCGTGCAATAAGATTAGAAGTAATGTAGACTTATTTACTTGATTTACAAGAATAAGGAAGGGCACTGAAGTGAGAACTCGAGTAGGAACGTTATGTAGGAGTAGAATGTAGCTTATAATAGTTAGTTGAGTGCTTCAACGTTAAGAAATTGGGTTTCATCGTTGTCTCTGCTCCTGGTTGTGGAAGAGTCTAATATCTGTGGAGAGAAGCATTTCAAAGCGATATTAGGAAGAGCTTTTCGCCAATAATCTTCACTACAAGGTGGATAAAATACTGTATAAGCAGTTGTGGCTTTTCCTCTGTTACTTATTTTGGATACGAGAGGGGTTGTGGACCTAAGCACCCTCAAGAGGGTTCCAGTTGTGGACCCACCCCGACCGACACTTGAGCTTGGGTACGAGTTCACGCACCTCAGCTATTGGACAGATGAACAAGGGTACATAATATTATTTGAGTAGTGCGTAACATCCTAAATATACATATTTACATATAAACTTGTGTGATCGCTGCCAATCATAAAGCGCGGCCTTTGATGCGCTATTTATGGGTACGCGCCGTCGGCCCCCCGGCCGATACGGCCGCAACCGCTATGTCCCTGCATATTAAATCTGTAATTTCTTTGTAAATTACATGCTGTAAAGGGCCATATTGATCTATATTGAATTCATAATGTATTTAAAATACTTAATTGGATTAGGATTGATGCCATTATTTCTCGAGGATGATGGGACACCCTTTATATAATTAGTCATAAAATATAAATCACTACAATTCTCACCTTGTGACTCTTTTGGAACAAACTCCTTCAATATTTGTTCCGCCATTTCTTTCCAGTCGTTTGAATAATCCTCGCAGCAGCTGAGTAATTTATCTACTGGTGTTTCCTCTGTAGATTTTCCGTTACTAAGTGAAACTATATCAAAAAGAAACTGTTCACACTCGAATTGATTGATATTGCTATCCTTTTCCTTGCTTTTCGCTGATTTTAATCTCACGTCATTTTTCTTTTTCGAACTAGATAATGGCGTTTCTATTTTCCTTGTTATTTTGGGATACTTCTGAAACTTCGTGTAGTAATAGCTTTGATATTCTTGCAAAATAATGTCCAAGTCAATATTTTCGCATACTTGATATTGATTGTCGAGATTAGCGTCATTTTCTAGAGTTTCGGCTACTGTACTGAATTTGTTTTCCACCAAAAAATTGTAAATTAGGTACAGAATATTTCTCTTCCTCTCTCTAGCGTCGGCTTTAGTTTTATCATATAGATTCGGAATAGTTCTGGCACTTTTTTTTGGAGTTATAGAAACCTCTGTCATGATTCAGTATTGTTAAAAAATTATTGAAGTTTGTTTGGTTGTCATGGTTCATAACAAACAGTGGTTGTCATGGAAACTTCTAAGTAATCGCGGTTGAGCGAAAAATATTGAAAATAAACGGACATATAGGGTGTTATAATTTGAAAAATGTTTTAACTAGTCTCACAACAATTCCCATTCCTTAAAAATTGAATAGCTCAGGAACACATTGTTA